AAAGCAAATGTGAAAAAGTTTCATCAAAGTAAGAAACTATACAATAAGAGTAAGTGTTATTGAGATAGGTTATATGCTCTATGCAACAAGTCGTTAAATATAGATAGAAATTAGATAAATATCTAAATATATATTGTTATGTAATAATAGAGAGCTTGCATGGTAGAGTTCTATAGCCTGTGTTTCTCTAAAAAATCGACTTTAAGTATTTACCTAATTACTCAATCATGATTGTTTGGAACGAAAAAAAATCTTTCTTATTTGTTATATAATTATTTGTGATCAATGATTTATTATTTCGCATAATTGTTTATTTGGAAAGATTAAGATAGATTCTGAAGTTCAAAATACAGTTCTTTTCAACCAATAGAATCACGATAACTATAATGACCATTGTTTGTGATTTTTCATTATTAAATTTTTAATAATAAGAAATTTGTCAGTATTTCAAAAAATTTTTCAATAACTTTATTTAGTTATCGAGGAGCTGTATGAAGTTTTTGCTTCATGTACAGTTTTGTATTAGAGATAAGAAGAATTCTCTTCTTATCGACTATAATTATCTCATAGTTTAAGTACTATTGATATTGTGGAAGAACAATCAAAATTTGGAATTTTAGGATGGAATATCTGGCGTCAACCGATCGGATTTTTCGTTTTTTTAATAGCTGCTTTAGCTGAATGTGAGCGCTTGCCTTTCGATTTACCTGAAGCTGAAGAAGAATTAGTAGCGGGGTATCAAACAGAATATTGTGGTATTAAATTTGGTCTGTTCTATGTTGGTTCTTATATTAATTTATTAGTATCAGCTTTATTTGTTTCAGTTCTTTATTTAGGCGGATGGGATTTTTCAATTCCTATTGTCAGCGAATATTTTACATTCTTATCTAATGAAACATTAATAAGCTTTTTGAATGTTTTTTTTTGGATTAGCTATTACAATTACAAAGGCATATATCTTCGTATTTATTACCATTCTTACTCGTTGGACTTTACCTAGAGTACGTATGGATCAATTATTAGATTTGGGTTGGAAATTTCTTCTTCCTGTAGCCTTAGGAAATTTATTACTTACAGCTTCATTTCAGATTACTCTGATATAATTTAATTGTTCTTTATTAAAAATTTTGTATACAAAATTTTTAATAAAGAACAATTAAAAGGAGTATAATTATATTTATAATATAAAGTATGTCATCTTTTATCAGTGGTTTTCAAAATTATACGCAAGAAGCATTAAGAGCTGCTCGTTATATCGGTCAAGGATTTTTAGTAACTCTGGATCATATGAACCGTAGTCCTATTACCATTCAATATCCATATGAAAAACTAATTCCTTCCGAACGTTTCAGAGGACGAATTCATTTTGAATTTGATAAATGCATTGCTTGTGAAGTTTGTGTACGTGTATGTCCAATTAATTTACCTGTAGTTGATTGGGAATTCCAAAAATCAATGAAAAAAAAACAATTAAAAAGTTATAGTATTGATTTTGGAGTTTGTATATTTTGTGGTAATTGTGTCGAATTTTGTCCAACAAACTGTTTATCTATGACAGAAGAATATGAATTATCTGCATATGATCGGCATGAATTAAATTATGATCAAGTTGCATTGGGGCGTTTACCATATCCTGTAACTCAAGATTTAAGTATACAACCTGTTGTAGGTTTAAATTATCTTCCTAAGGGCTTGGTTAATAATCCTAATGATTCTTTAAGAAATGTGACGGATTATCCTCAAGAATAATTAGTCTTAAAAAAAATTTTTGAACTATGCGCATAGTTTCATATAATGATTTTTTTGTAGATCATTGAAAAATATGTTATGTAATCGCATACTTAGTATTTTCATAAATTATGTATAGGAGTTACTCTAATGAGTATGGTTGATATAACAGAAACAACTAATCTTCCTCTTATTGCCTTACTTGATATAGGGATTATATTAGGTGCTTTAGGAATTGTTTTTTTAAGAAAAATTATATATTCTGCTTTGTTATTAGGTTTTGTTTTTGTATGTGTAGCTTTATGGTATCTTATTTTAAATGCTGATTTCTTAGCAGCAGCTCAAGTATTAATTTATGTAGGTGCTGTAAATGTATTGATTGTTTTTGCTGTTATGCTTGTGAATAAACCAGAGACTGAAACTATGAAAGAATGGAAAACTGGAGATTGGATCTCGGGTTTTTTATTCTTAGGTTTATTCGCTTGTTTAACTAATATGATTCTAAATACTACCTGGATAAACACAAATGTGTTATCTAAAGTAACCCAAGAAGAATTCAATACAGTGGGCGCCAATAGCATTGATATTATAGGGGCACATATATTAACAGATCTCCTTCTACCTTTTGAATTGTTATCTGTTGTGTTATTACTAGCTTTAGCTGGAGCTATAACTATTGCTCGCAAAGATGGATTCATTTTTGTTGAAAAAAATACGACAGAAATTGATATTAGTAATCGTTCAATAGATTAATTACTAATAAATAATCGGTTATTTTTCAAGGAGTAAACATTTATGTTAGAACATGCCTTAATTTTGGGTGCATATTTATTTTGTATTGGACTCTATGGTTTGATGACTAGTCGTAACATTATTAAAGCTTTAATGTGTTTAGAATTAATGCTTAATGGAGTAAATGTTAATTTAGTCTCATTTTCAGCCTATTTAGATACTGAAGAACTTAGAGGACAAACATTTGCTATTTTTATTATAGCAATAGCTGCAGCAGAAGCTGCGATTGGTTTAGCCATAGTATTGAATATTTATCGAAATAGAAATTCTACTCGTTTAGATCAATTCAACTTATTAAAATGGTAGAATTTGAAGTTTGAGATGGCTTGAATCTCAAATAATTATTAGAGCACACAGTGTTCAATTTACAGAATTCTTCTTTAGGTAGCAAAAAAAATTGGACAATTTTTTTCCATTTAAACAGAAAATTGTTTCGAAAGAAAAAATATGTATTTAAAATATTCTTTTTTTCTTTGTTTTTGAGTTGTCAAAATTTATAATCTTGTTATTCTTTTTACAATTAATACATTAAGCCTATTTGTTACATATTTTTGTTTTTTTCTATATTCCTTTTTTCTATATGTTTCTTAATATGATTAGTAGATAATAATTATGTTATACTGACTTGTTTTTTTTTATGAGTTAGTATTTAACAAAACCTTTTTTATAAAAAAATTTCACTTCATTATTATCTTTAGTATAGTACATACATATTTATATGTATACTAAACTAAAAACGACAAGATAATAATAGATTTCTATTCAGTAATTCTCTAATTTATTATGTGTTTTTTCTAAACTTTTAGAAAAAACACATAATAAAGAGGTTTTATATTATATATATTTCTTTATGACTTTTAAAATAAAAGTGCTTATGTTTTAAAAGTATTGTACATTAATCTATACCATAAACGCATTATTCAATATGTCATTATAGCATTTCCGGTAAATTCTATAATGACATATTGAATCTTTTTGTATTTTTTCTTTTTAAGAAATACATTATTTTTAAATTATTTATTAAAATATGTAGATAGAAAAGTGTCAAAGATTTTATCATATGAATATAAGATTGTATGAACATGATAAACAAATCTTTCTCTTTGATTCTTAGAATTCAATCGAATATTATGAATTTTGTAAAAAATATTTTATTGTATCAGTTTAACGGATTAATTTTTTGAATCATAGTCAATACGATTACCGAATGTTGATAGGTAGTTATTAGAACTACTATATATGATGAAAATAATAACTATATATAGTAGTATATGTTCCGTTTTAATAAACTTGGAACCAAGGATTACAAGTTTTTATATTTTCTATATACTACAAACAACCAGTTTCCCTAATTTTTTTATGTGAATATCTTTTTCTTAGAAACAAGATTCATTAGTACTCAAAAAATTCATTCAGTATATGATGAGTATAGTGATAATGTCAATAAAATTTTTGTCTCAATAGATTTTTTATCATTAAAAATTATAAAATACATATATGGTAGAGTGACTTATCAATGTTTTTTCTCATTAGAAATTCAACTATCCTTTCTTTGATTATGTTATTAATATAAAATTGAACATATCATTGATAAGTCATCATTTTGAAATTTTGTTTTTGAGGATGGTACGTTTTCTCATCATATTCAATTCATGTCAAAATGATTAATTTTCATAAAAAATTAATCATTTTGACTGTCTAAAAGCTCATGACTCAATATATTTATCAAAATACTTGTTATGTAACTAGATAATGTGTTCACAAATATCTAGTTACATAATTTCTTTCTGGTTTAATTGAAAAAGAAAAAAATAGAAAAGAAAGATAATGTTGCTAAAGTTAAAATAAATACATAACTTGTAATACGACCTCCTTCTATATATTTTGAACTTTCTCCTCCAAATAAAGAGACCAGACCAGTATTATTAACAATTCCATCAATAATCCACTGATCTAATAGAAAAGTTAAACGTGAAAAACCTCGTGTTCCTGAGACAAAAATTTTTTCATATATTTCATCGATATAACCACGACGTAATGACCAATTATAAATACTATTAAGTAGAGTACCTAAACTTCCTTCTTTCACAGGATCAAGAGAATCTATAAAATTTCTCCTTTGTGAAGCATTGGGTCCATATAGAAACCATGCTACACAAGCACCAGTCACTGCGATACCTACTGATGGAAGTGATTCTAATGCAAATTCTATCCAAGTTCTTTCATGTAATGGAATATGTGTTGTATTCAGCCACTGTGCAAAAACTTCGGATCCAGATGTACCTGAAGGAAAAGGAGCACCTAGTAAACCTATAAAAATAGTAGGAATACATAAAGCAACTAAGGGAGCTACCATATTTATAGTAGATTCATGAGGATATAAACCGTTATGATTCTCAAGAGTTATATTCTTTTTATAACCATCATGAAATTTTTTTTTTTTATAATCATCATAAATACCTCCCCTAAAATCCCCTTCAAAAGTTAAAAAGTACATTCTAAACATATAAAATGCAGTCAGTCCCGCAGTTATCCAAGCTATCCATCCTAATATGGGCATTTTTTCCCAACTTTCAGCAAGAATTTCATCCTTAGACCAAAAACAAGCAAAAGGCGGAATACCACATAAGGATAAGGTCCCTATTAGAAAAGTAGTGCCAGTTATTGGCATATATTTCCTAACGCCTCCCATATATCCCATGTCTTGGCTTTTATTAGGATTATATCCGACAACACCCTCCATACCATGAATAACAGAACCGGAACCTAAAAACAAAAGAGCTTTAGAATATGCATGAGTAATTAAATGAAATAAACCGGCTTGATAAGACCCAATACCTAAAGCAAGCATCATATATCCCAATTGTGACATAGTGGAATATGCCAATCCTCTTTTTAAATCTCTTTGCGCAAGAGCTAAAGTAGCTCCAAGTAATGCAGTAGTTACACCTGTAATAGCAATAACATCCATTACGATTGGTAAATCTTGGAATAAAGGCAATAATCTAGCTACTAAAAAGATCCCTGCAGCAACCATAGTTGCTGCGTGAATTAATGCTGATATTGGAGTGGGACCTTCCATCGCGTCAGGCAACCATACATGCAATGGGAACTGAGCAGATTTTGCAATTGGTCCTAAAAATAACAAAATAGCACATACTATAGCGAAATTCATATTAATAGTACCATCAATTAAAAGTTGATGAAATCTATTTGCTACTGTGTCAAAATCGAAGCTACCGGTAAGCCAATAAAATCCTAAGATGCCTAATAATAATCCAAAGTCTCCTATTCTATTTGTAATAAACGCTTTTTGGCAGGCTGAAGCAGCACTAGGACGAGTAAACCAAAATCCTACAAGTAAATAGGAACACATACCTACTAATTCCCAAAAAGCATAGACTTGTACTAAATTTGGACTTAATACTAAGCCTAACATTGAAGCTGTAAATAAACTAAGGTATGCAAAAAATCTTACATATCCTTTGTCATGTAACATATAACCATCAGTATAAATCATTACTGCAATACCTACAGTAGTTACAAGAACTAACATAATAGAACTAAGTGGATCAACAATATATCCAATATCTACTGAGAATGTTTTTGTTTGAATCCATGACCAAAGTTGTATATGAGCAGAATGTTGTATAACTTGTTCCCAAAACATGCCAAAGGATAACATCATTGCGATACCTAGCATACCTATGCTTACAATAGCAGAGGGCCATCTAAGGGTACGAGTGGCACGACGAAATGAAAGTAAGCCAATTCCAATGATTAGAGCAGCCAAAGAAGGAAGTATTGGCACGAGCCAAGCATATTGATATGTTAGTTGCATAGTCGCATATTTCAAATAGTTTACATCCCAAGCCTCAATTTTCCATAGATTGTTAAGAATGCACAAAAGAAAAATTGTGCATTATAACTATACTAGTTAAGAACTTATTTAATCAATCGTTTTATATCAATTTTTGTATTTAGTCTATATAGGAAAAATTTCTCTATCTTTCTACCTATTAAAACTTTTTATACTATATATTTCTTCTATCTTTCATATAGAAAATATTTTTTTCGAATACTTATTCGAATCTTTTCTAGAAAAGATTCTTTTTGATTATAATATCTTATAAAGACATTTAATCTAATTAAGATAATATCATTAGTAAACTATTGACATAAAATAGTGATATATATTATTATATGTCACATAAATTAATTTTGATATTTTATGTCTTTTTTTTTATTGGAAATAATTCTATGAATACATATGCAATTCTTGAAGCAGGAGGAGAACAACTGCGTGTAGAGCCAGGTCGTTTTTATGATATACGTCTTCAAATACCAATTGAAAAGTTGTCAAAAGAAAGAAAAATCATATTTTCTCGAATTTTAATGATTCGTAATCAAGATGATACATTTATAGGAAAACCTTGGTTAGAAAATGCTACAGTAAAAGGACGTATCTATCATCATCGTCGTGGAAATAAAATTATAGTTTATAATATGCGTCCTAAAAAACATACATCTAAAAAACGCGCACATCGTCAAACTTTAATGCGATTTGTAGTTGATGCTATTTGTTTGAATAATGAAACATTGAAATAAATTAAAAGCATACAACACATGCCATCCAGAATTCCTTCTTTTGTAAATAAGAAAAATTAATAATTTTTCCAAAAATCTTTCAATGTTTGATTTGTTAAATAACTTTTTTTAGAATAAAAATATCTTACATTGATACATTCTTTTTTCTGTAATAAGAATGTAACCTCTAAACATAGTTTATAAAATTTTGATTGGATTCTATGAAAATATTATAAAAAAAAATTTTATAAACTATGTTAGTATATATTCAATAAAAATTCTCTTAGAGGAAGTTAGTTCTTTTCTTATTTAGCAAAGAAATTATCTTCAGAATAGTTCTATGTTAAGATATTACAATCTTATTATGTACAAAAAAAATCTCAAAAAATCAACAGTAAAGATATTTGGTAAATATTCCAATATTGAAAAGATTACAGTCTCATTAAGAAATATAGTTTTTTTTATAATCTTTTCAATATTGGCAAAGAACCTTTTTGTTAATTTTCCCAAGTTAGAGTAAAATTTCTTATTGAGAAATTAAATAATTTGCTAAGATATTAGTATTCACAGAACAATGTATTTTTTTTGTATTTTATACTAGTTTTCTTAAAAGATTAAGTTACAAAGAGCAAAGTACTGTGAAAATCAAACAATTTTTTCAACAAAAAAGCTTTTTTTTGTAAGAAAAAAAGATAAATTATGATATTCTAAAAAAAATCCAAGTATAAGAAAATTTCACCACCTTTTCTTATAGAAAGTGAATATATTGAATTCTATGAATAGAACATATTTTCTTATTAATTGGTATAATATATATTATTATATGATGGTCG